TGCCCATCTTTACCATTTCTATCTGCATAAAGCTTAATACTTTACTTTCTTATCTACTGTATACTCCTATACTAAATGTTTCAATTTAAGGGCTACTATATAACGGTGATTTTATAGTCAAATGGTCAAAGCATTTATTTTACTAGTAAAAAAGGTTTCTGAGTACTGCTAACAATTTTTGTTTAGGGTAAGATGGAATGTTATGCCTATAGCACTATCAATATTCTACAACTGCAGTCCTCAACCCTTGGGCAGAGATCTGGTACTGGCCCGTGGCCTGTTAGGAACTGGGCCATGCATCATCACCTGAGCTCCACATCCCTCCCCTAACCCCCCCATCTGTGGAAAGATTGTCTTCCATGGAATCTGTCCCTGGTGCCGAAAAGGTTAGGGACTGCTGTTCTAGAACATCAACAGATGTTTATTGAGCACCTACTATTGTGCCAGGCACTGTGCTAGTGCCAGAGATAAGGCTGTAAATAAGCCAGAGAGGTTCCCTGCCCCCTAGAAGGTAAGATAGATAGTAAACCAACCAACTATCCAATCAACCAACCAACCAGCCAACCAATCAACCAAATGCTGATAGTTAGAAGGAAATAAATAGTATGCCATTATAGAGACTAATAATGGAGACCCACCTGGGAGGTGCCTTTAATCTAAGATTGGAAGCCAGAAAAAGAGCCAGTTCTTGTGCATGTGGAAGGAGGGGACATAGGTAAAATGGGCAAGAATGATCTAGATGGAGGGAAGAGTCCAGGTCTGGAGTCAGGGAAAGGATTGACTTGCAGGAACTGATCAAAAGCTGATGTAACTAAGTATCATGATTGAATGGGAAAACCCCATGAGAGCTGAGGCTAATAGGTGAGGATGAAATCACACACAGGTTTGCAGACCATGGAGAGGGGTCTGGGTTGTAAACCATGTGCAATAGGAATCTATTACAGGGTTTAAAGCAGGTAAGCTAACAAAAATTTAGACTTAATAAATGAAATCCAGAAATAGACATTCTTAGGTGGAGGTAGATGTTTTTATTCCCCCAAGCATAAAATATTGTGGAGAAATTTTAAACTAGTTGGATTATCAACCCACTTGGGAGGAAATCTACTTGAGATACAAATATGCACTTTACTGTACTTGAGAAAAATACAAGTAGGACAATTTTAACCTGGTTTTATGAGCTTAGGAATCTAACCAGGTGATAGCAATTGATTATGACAGCAAAGTATAGACTGCAGCCTTTAGATATGTCCTCTCCCTTACACTGGGGGCCTTTTTAGAGTTAAGAAAAGTATGCTAGAAGCTTTTCAATGATAAATATTGAGGACATAACTGTGGTTGCAGGTGGAAGTTCTGGGTTGATTTCCAATCTTTTGGTCTACTTGCCTCAGACCTTCCCTATGACCTGGCAAGCCCAGGCCCTTGATAAACTTTGGGGGAGAACAGTAAAAGCCGCATTGTATTACATTTTGAGACCCCTCCTCCTCCAATGAACAAGTTCTTTAAAGCCATTAAGGCTTTTAGAACTTCACGGAATTAGGAAGGCAGCGGAAATTCTTCCCTGAATTGCAGTTTATTTATTTGGCTTATCTGACTTCAGAACCAGCAATGACATAAGTGTTGCTTTAATTTAGCATCCAACTATTAACTAATGAGTCAGTTTCCCATTGTGTTATGTAGTTAATATAGGGTAGAAGACCCCCACATAGAGTTAATCAGGAGCATGCCTGAATAATGGCAAAAACAGAGCTTTTGATCTAGAACAGCTATAAGGTGCCTGTTTGTAGGGCATCTCATGAAGGGTGCAGACAAGGAGGTGAAGGAATGGGGTGGAAAACAGATGGGACTGGGTTTGAGGAGACTTGAGTGGAAGCCCTTACCAGCATGTGACTTTGGATAAGTCACTCAGCGTCTCGAAGCTCATATTTTCTTATCAGTGAAATGGAAATTTTATCCAACATTCTAGGAGTAGGAGGAGCTAATTAAATAATATGTAGGGGAGGGCTATATAATTTTTGAAGCACTTCATAAACGTAAAATTTATTATTCCTACTCTGGCTGTTGTGATGAGATAAAAGAGACCAAAAATAAAATTATTGCCCTTTTGGAAGATTACAATTAAAACGAAAAGTCACAACTCCAGGAGCGACATAAATAAAGGGGAACATTGACGACCACCCTTCCTATTGCTATTGTGTGCTCAAAGTATTTGTTTAAATAAGATAAAAAATGCTAGAATAAGATATGTGGTTTCAGTAAATAGACATGTGAAGGATGCAGTGTGAAGGCGTTATCCACAAAAGCTTTCTGGAGGGCATGAGTTGATGCAGGTTTTAAAAGAGGTGATGCAGGATAGTGGGTGTGAACTTGGACAGAAATGGTTAAAAATCTCTGCCCCACCGTTTAGAAGCTGTGTGACAGTGGGAGAGTCAGGGAAACTATAAAATGACACCTTCACTTTTCCACAAAATGGGGATGGTCATATTTACTCCATGAACTTACTCTAAGGACTAGGAGAACTATGTATATGGAGCTTTTAACACAAAGCTTAGCATGAGACAAGAGCTTTGAAAAATAGTAGCTATTATGACTATTACCATTATTATACATCTCACCATAATTGAATGATGGTAAAGCATTATAGCTATAATGATGATAAGGGAGGTGAGAGATCATTATGTTACTTACATAATCATGACAGATGTGAGGAATTGTTAGGCTCTAATTAAACATAAAGGAAAGGAAAGGAAAAAATGAGAAATTTGAAAGAGAAGTTGGAATATTTTTAAGCTATGAGAACCATGGAGGGCACAGCTATTAAAATGGAGTCTGCTTCATGGATCAGTCTTAAATTCTGCTTTGTTTTCAAAATACAAATCACATGTAGCTTTTATCAAGCAGATGTAAGGTGTCTCTGCTGAGAATTTTATGGTCTTAAGTGGCCATTAAGTCAATATGATTAATTACTTGAGTAGGGAAAACCCGCTGGTAGTGACAAACTCTGAGCTTTTTTTCTTTGGAGATTTCTTTGTTACAACCTTAATTAAGAAAAGGTCATAGAAGAGTGGTAGAAATAATAGGAGTGTGCTTAGAATTATGAGGAGAGGACACGGTGTGAGATCACGTCATTGCCTTATGATTGGATGGATCTACATTAACTTTATTCTTCTTTGAAGATGACCGATATAATGTTTTCGTAATTCAGTGTTTAGTTCTATTGTTTCGGCTACCATGTAACATTGAGGTGCCAAACTCATTGGGAATAAGATTAAAGCAATCTTGTAGTTTTGAGAGGCTGAGTTGTGAGAAAGTGGATACTATTTAATAGCTCAGAAAGGAGCAGAGATGGGTTTAGGTCAGCTGAAAAGAGTGCATTTTTATTTCATTAAAGAGTAGAATATAAGATTAAATTAAACAAATATACTGGCTATGTATTTTTAAAAATACAAATTAAGATATATATACCCATTAAAATTAATATATGTTCTTCAGTTCATCAGAGCTAAAGTCATCTCATGTACTCTTTTTGCGAAAATAGCTCCAAGGAGCAGCAATAGGGAGGAACTTTGGAAACATACAAGAGAGGAAGAAAGAGTTCTAGAAACAAAGTGGCTAATACACCCAGTGCTGAGGGCTATAAGCACAGGTGTTTCAGAGATGCCTCCGTGAAATAGTAGAGGAAAGGAGATCTGCTATGCTGAAGGTATAAACTATTTTAATAGAAAGTTGACCCACTGGCTCATGTAACTGTCATGTAACAGTTATAATGGCAGAAAATCCATGGGCCCTTAGTTCAGAAAAAAAATAGAGTTGTTAAGCAAAACTGAAATTTTCCAAGGAATTGGTTTGCTAAGTACATTTGTAAGACAGCAGTCTAAACTAGATTGAAGCATACCTGTGCTAAACTTGTAGTCTGCCCTTTTGCTTTCATTCAAATTGCAAATATACATTTATTCTTCTTCTTATTTTTTTTTTGAGGCAGTCTCACTCTGTTGCCCCAGCTAGAGTGCTGTGGTGTCAGCCTAGCTCACAGCAATTTTAAACTCCTGGGCTCAAGCAATCCTGCTGCCTCAGCCTCCCGAGTAGCTGGGACTACAGGCATGTGCCACCATGCCCAGCTAATTTTTTCTATGTATTTTTAGTTGGCCAATTAATTTCTTTCTATTTTTAGTAGAGACAGGGTCTCCCTCTTGCTCAGGCTGGTTTCGAACTCCTCCTGACCTTGAGCAATCTACCTGCCTTGGCCTCCCAGAGTGCTAGGATTACACGTGTGAGCCACCTCGCCCGGCCTACATTTATTATTAAAATCAAGTAACTTAAACCAGTGGAAGGAATCTTCTATGTCACAATTAAAATAGAGAAAAACTTTATGAATGCCCTTATCTGAATATTTTGAATTCCTGGATTTCACACATCTGAAGTAAGTGTTGCATATTCTGGGGACTTGAAAGCAGGCTTTATCAGGAGGGCTACTCAGAAACATTTGTAAATAATGGAATCGTTGAAAGACAATTTTTCCCACTGTTACCACTGTTAAAGAAATGATTTCCATTTTATGATCTTAGCACATTACACTTTCTCTTTTTCATTTCTATCTTAAGTGAAATGAAGCATTGTTTTCCAAATCACCAGAGACATCTCTGTCTTTGGAATGAGACAAATTATTGCATCACTGCCCTGGGGTAATTTGACACGACACATGTAGCGCAGAACTGACTGGTGGGAACCAGTATTACATCCACCTGAATGCTAATATTTATCATGGCTCCCATTTACACACATTTTCCTTTCAGCTAAGATATAAACAAGGGTATGAATTCTATGGCTCATTAATGGGAAGTATCCAAACTAATGTCACAAAAGATGTCTTCATCGAATCAGTTAAAAAGTGCCTTAGTAACACCATTGGCATCCAGTGACCTTGTTTCTTGCTAAGACTGCTTGTCACCAGTTCAGACTGTTCCCCTCTCTAAGGACAGTCAAGCAGCCAAACCTGCACTAACCATGATGGGTTGTTCCGGAGCATGTTGACATACAACCCGATGAGAACATGTTCATCAGCTAGCCTGTCTGCCACATTCAGGCTGTACTGTATCCTGAAACAGGGCAGGAGGAAAGAAAGGGTGTTGTTAAAGAAGGTGAACAAAAATAAGCAGAGAAGGTAGGAGTGAATTTGTGGTAGAATAGGCATTTAGAAAACCAAGCAAGTAAAGGAAGGGTAGTAAGTGATGTTCTATGATTAAAAAAAAAATAAGCAAAATCCAAGCAACACAATTCTATTTCACTAACTTTAAAAATAAACATTTCCATTTATACTAAATAACTTTTTAGAAAACAGATTTGCATTCTTCAACCACTAAGCCCAAGGAATTCATCTGCACAGTAAACACACTGAAATGGATTGCACGCAAAGATTAAGTATCCTTTGGAAAATCAAATCTTCAGCTTAGTCACTTAGAAAAAAAAAAAGAAAGGGAAATCAGGGAAAGTGAATAACAGCATAGATGTGTCTACTGGAAATAACTACTTGGTGTTGTTAATTGGGTTATAACAGAGCTGCTTTTACTAAGTCAAAGATGGTCTTTCACACACAAAGCATTTTTGACAAAAGAAATCTCCAGTTTTAGTTGAGTTAATTCAGGGTTCCAGTGCACTCTGGCTTTAACTTACCCTTTGCCCTTCAGAAAAGCTGGAGCAGCCCTAGCCAGCAGTTTGTTCTGCTCTACTTCACTGTCCTTGGGAGGAGAGCTAGTTAATAAGATGGGAAAGCCAAGAAGAGCGTAAACACGGCAATGCATTCAAGAATAGACACTGGCAACAGACACTCCCAACTCTAGATCCAAGCTCCATTTGGACAGATCCCTTATTATTTTGAAATGTTCAAGATGTTTTCAGATTTCCACAGAGTTCAACTAGGAGTAGAAACCTGGCCTGAGAACCACAATTATAATGATAAAAGCCACCAGATCCCAGATTTGATCTTTGCTTTTTGCTTAACAAGCAAGCATTTATATTCCATATGCCTAGATATAATGAAAATTCCCTGAACATTTATCACGGGATATCACGTAAATAGTCCAATAGTTCATGAAATCCTACCAGCCTTTAGATCCCACTCAAGAAGCTTACTTCTCTAGCTTTCCCTAAATTCCCCAACTTTCTGTGTTGAATAGAAAGACTGGAAAATTACCAAGAGATTGCTGTCATATTAGAAGTGCTTTGCAGTACAAGTCAGCTGATTTGGGCTGTGAATCTACCAAGAAAACTTACAGAGAAACAGAGATATACATTTGAGTCTTATAAATATATATTCGTATTTCTTATTTGTATATTAATACATACTAGTGAATACAGTCCCATCTCTAAAGCAAATTCTTAACATTTCATTATGAGAAATATTCATTTTATTTAGTAATTTTTTTTTTTTTGAGACAGAGTCTTGCTTTGTTGCCCAGGCTAGAGTGAGTGCCGTGGCGTCAGCCTAGCTCACAGCAACCTCAAACTCCTGGGCTCAAGGGATCCTCCTGCCTCAGCCTCCCAAGTAGCTGGGACTACAGGCATGCGCCACCATGCCCGGCTAATTTTTTGTATATATTAGTTGGCCAATTAATTTCTTTCTATTTATAGTAGAGACCGGGTCTCGCTCTTGCTCAGGCTGGTTTCGAACTCCTGACCTCGAGCAATCCGCCCGCCTCGGCCTCCCAGAGAGCTAGGATTACAGGCGTGAGCCACTGCGCCCGGCCAATTTAGTAATTTAAATGACAGTTTTAAAGTTTAAAATATAGTTTCATAAAAGTACAACTAGAAATATAAATAATAATTAAGTGTGGCCAAGGCAAAGTCACACAAGATCTATTGTGTTGAATAATGATGTCTCATTGGGAAATATGGTATAAATTCTTAGTGTTAATTAGTATTGCAATTGTATTGGTAATGTGTTTAAAGAGAGTTTGCTTCTTTGTACATTAAGTAAGAATTTGCCCTACACACTAGTCAACCTAAAACTATCCCACCTCCCTACATGGAAAACACAAAAATAATCTGTCTGACTTTGTTAGAATACCAAGTGCTTAACTACTGGCATCTAAATTATGAGGTTTTGCCACAAAATTTCAAGAAGTTCTAAATCTATATATAATCTATTTATATACATATAAGTTTATTTGTATATTATATATAAATCTATTTATATATTACATATATGATGACTTATAAAATAGTCAAAACCTTAAAAAACTTTTAACTACAAGTTTTAAGTTTCTACTACAAAGCACCACTCTTTCAGACTATGAAATACTAAAAAATAAAAATTTACAAATTAATATGACATTAGAATTTGGAAAATTATAGTTGGAATTCTTGCTTTATAATAGTATGTACTATAAGATTGCTTAAGTAGTGAAGTCTCTGTTAAATATAATATCAAATTTGATTTATAAAGAAAATGTCTAGATCTGAGTAGTCATTCATGTTTGTTGAATGAATGACATTTTTACTTAGCTTTTTAGGAAGGCATCTGTTACACAAAGTATTGCTGTACCTAAAATGTACAATTGATCACAAAAAATATTGACTTTAAAAATAAATTAGACTAATGTTCTGGGAGAATTTACATTCCTGATGACCTTAATCTTTTTTTTTTTTTAGCATATTGATCTTTATCTTCGAAGACTATGAAATCTGCATATCAGGGCCACTGTAAGCCATCATAGTTGGTGTTTTCTGTGATGCACCATTATCCCACCCAAACAGCATTCCACACCTTGTCTACAGAAGCATATCTCCGTACATTCATTATTCAGCAACTACCATCTCCCTGATGCCCAATATCCTTCTCCTACTTTTTTTTTAGCAATGTAAGATAGATGTATCTATTGCATAATTGATTTCAGATGCATGCAAAACCATCCAAAACACTGTGTGAAATATCAATGATTCTTCCCTTCAAACTAAACTATCTCCCTGTCTTGTTATACTTCCTTGCTCTTTGAATCTCATAAATTATAGTGATGCTTCCTTAAACCAAAAGCTTAATAATTCCACAGGTACATCCTCTGATGCTGAATTTGTGGGATAAAAAGAAAGAACCAGTAGAGAAAATAAACACAGGAAGGTTAACCATGAAGATGTATTTGCTACAAATTATTCTGGTGAAGTTTTATGGGAGGAAGAAGATGTATTGATAAAGGCCCAGAAGTGCTGTTTCACCATTCGGTCACCAAAAAAAAACACAAGCATGTAGGACCCCGTTGATGTTAGTACCATGCAGGGGTGGGGTGATGGGAAGGGGGCAATTAGTCAGATATTCCTTTGGTGGCCATATTCTTTTTTTCCCTTTAATTCTTTGAATTCCTCTGCTCCTTCCTCCATTCTATTTGCCTGTCTCTCCTCTGCTCTTCTTTTTCTTCCTTCTTCTTCCCAGGTCCCCTTCTCCCTCAAAGGGATGAGTGGATATTCTATGTATACAAAACTGTCTTAACTGTTATTGTCATTTTCTTTGTACTGGTCCTTGCTAGTGTTGGTTTGAGGGAATAATTTAAATCCTTTTATTTTCCTTTCTTTTCCTACATGAATTTTTGGGAAAATTCTTTGAAAATATGGGGGTTACACTATGCACATTTATGAGTTTGTGGAAATAAACTATTTGTTTTGCTACTGCTTAAAATTACTAGTGCCAAGAGCATTTCTGACTTTTGGTACTCACTGTTTACATAGTTTCTGTACTTCCTAGAGCTAGCCTCAAATTCTTCTCCTCATCACCGGTTTCTGGGAAGCCAAAACTATGACCAAGTATAGACAACTCCAAGTGCATGATGAAAACAAGACAAAAATAGCCACTCTTTCAAAATGAAATGCATCAAGAGCTTAGAAAGTTGACAGGCGGCAGGTTACACTTAAAACTTGGGTCTTTAAAGTCTTTTCACTTGACGTGCCTTCCACTAGAATCTCTTCTTAAGCTCCCAAGGAGCTTGAAGAAAGGAAGCAAAGTGAAAATTTTTTCTCCTGAGTTATGAAAGTAGTGATTGCTATGGTTCTACTATTTTGCCCTTCCAAACCTCATTTTGAAATTTGATCCTCAGTGTTGGAGGCAGGGCCTAATGAGAGGTGCTTATGTTATGGGGGCAGATCCCTCATAAATGGCTTGGTGCCATCTTCATGATAATGAGTGAATTATCTCTCTATTTTTTCCCATGAGAACCGGCACCTCCCTACTCTCCTGTGCTTCCTCTCTCACCATGTGATCTCTGCACAAGCCAGCTCTTTTTCACCTTCCACCATGATGGGAAGCAGCCTGAAGCCCTCACTAGAAGCCGAGCAGATGTAGGCATCATGCTTCATGCACACCCTGCTGAACTATGCGGCAAATAAACCTCTTTTCTTTATAAATTACTCACCCTCAGGTATTCCTTCACAGTAACACAAATGAACTAAGACGGTGATGATATGTAGTTTATTATGATCCCTTCAAGGTGATGTATTCTCACAATATTTTAGGAATAATTCAGATTTTTGAACTTTCATTTTGTAGCTTGGAAGTTTGCAAGGAGAAGTTAAGTGATATTTCCAATTCATGTGGGCTTTAGGATCCGGCACATTGAAACCTATGTCTCTATTAAGGAAGGAGTGCTTCCAGCATATTGGTGCATCCAAATGCAACAATGGCTTTTGCATAACTCCAGCTCGAGCTCTGAAAGCTTCTCCTTGTTTTACATGTCCCGTCCTCAAATCAAAATGCATTAAATGCATTCTTTCTTTTAACTTCTGAAACTAGGAACTCCTTGGGGCTCACCTTGATCAGTGGTAATACATCTTTTCTAATCTGAGTCTCAAGGAGGAACAAGACTGACATCTCAAAATTTGTAAGTACACACATCTCTTTTTTCTATTGTTGTCTTTTTTTTTTTTTACCAAGCCCTTGCCACTGCATGAGCATATCCCTTTATTGATGGGTGTGGTAACAATTATACCCTGGGGGGTATGACATGGCAACTTTTGAAGTTTATGTGTTCTGCAGGAAGAAAAATTATTATTGCAGAAAATATTCCTTTAGACTGTTTTCTTTTTCTAAAAAAATCTTGATTTTTCTGACCATTTGCATTTTATACCTCTGGAAAGTAGCATATCTAAAGATAAATAAAATTCTTCCAAAGTTTTTCATGCATACACAAACACACATGTATGTACACATGATGATACAATGGGTTCTGAAAGGATGGAACAATTTCCAAAATATTTCATGTTTATTTTAAAAAATTCTCCCCTTAGTTTTGAAGGGTAACAAACAATATCAGTATTTTTACTTTAGTGGAAACATTTTTGTGGTGTACTAAGGTAACAAAATTATACATAAATGCCCCCTGAATTTTTGCCTAAACCTAAAATATATTCTTTTAAAACCATTTCTGCTTATGTTTGGTTACTATAGTAGCCCTGGTCAAAGGTTTTTTTTTTTCTTTTATTGAACATAATCTTAAAGGCCTGGCTACAGTCTCACAGAGAACCAATACCACATAAACAAATTATGTTAATGTGGAATAATTATTATCACAATAGTTAAAAGGAAAATAATATTTGAATGATAGCAAATTGAGAGCAGATATTTTAATTTCTATTGATTTTTAATAATTCATAAGTACGTGTGGTATTTGGATTTGTGAAGGATGACTTGTTAAATTGGCTCTTTCCTTAAGTAACTGCCTATTGTTAAAAAAATTTGCTTCTTGCTGTAATTTACAAGGTCTACTAGTAAGGTCATCATACTAATTTAAGTACAATAAAACAGTCCACAAATCAGTTCTGTCAAGAGATAATTTTTTGAAATTATTGCTTGTTTCCTTTTTTAGCTTTTAATAGGTTAGATCTGAAATATAAAATTTTGACTACATGCAATTCAGTAGACAAGCATAAACAAATAAGTCAGTGTCTCAGTGGGAAAATTAGCTGTCATAAATTCAGGCTAGTATGAAAGTTGAACTATCTTAAGCAGGTAGTAGGGAAGAAATAAGAATTCTTAGGTCACATTTGATTCACTATATTTACTATATTGTCCCCAGATATCATCAAGCCATACCAATTATATTTTTGCCAAGAGAGCCTCTAGGAATGTTTGCTGGGTATGGGGAATGCACAGAAAACAACCAAAGCAAAAATAAAAAGGAAAAGTAAAAAAGAATAGGTGTTCTTAAAGAGAAGAAGAGAGGTGACTGTGGTTTTAATTATGCATTAATTTAGTATAGGAAATTGTTAGAGATAAACGTGAAGACTAATTTAAATTTGAAAAAATCTAGCATATTAGCGAAGCTTCAGGGCTACATGAAGTAAAGAATTATCTGCAGAGAGAGATTATTTCAAATTTCATCAGATTTCACAAAACATGCCTAGAAAGTTTGAAAAGAGTGAGGAAATCTTCATGATGGTGCCAGATGCTAATTTACAAATTTATCTATTTTTATGCCTGAAAATGGATGGGCATTAATCTTCGAAATAAGTTAGCTATGGAGAAAACTTTGACTTCAATGGCTGAATTCAGTCTCTTAAATTTTAATCCTTTCTGATTACCAAATCACAAATATTTAAAACTTAGTTTGAATATTTTAAGTCAGATTAAAAGCCTGGGTTGGTAGGTAAAGAATCTTTTGGTAAGTGAAAGTGTTTGAAGAAAAATGAAAAAAATACTGTTAATTAGAATTTCTTTGATTGGAAACCTAAATCAGTCAACTAATTGACCAACCACTCAACCGACAAAAATAACTCACAAATGCTGCTCCACTGGGAAGAGTTAGGGTTTGGGAAGTACTCAGTGTTGGTGGTGCCCTTCTCATAAGAAATACAGAGCCAAATACAGCCTCAGTAATTAACTACTTATTGCTGTGATAAACCAGAAAATAGCATATTGGATTGTGTTCAATGCATGATATGAGTTATAAGCAATTTTGTAATATTTGGTAGACTGATAAGATCTGGCTAGATGTTATATATAATAGCCGAAATGATTCTTTTTGTGAGTGGTTACCACTTTAGAGGTTGCAACTATGAAAATACCTTTGAAACCTTTAAGTGATGTTTCTAATATTAGAGGTAAAAGAAACTAACCTTATTCAAGCTTTCAGAATGTCTTTACTGTAACTAACAAAGAAGACAGGTCATAGTTAAAGAAGCTTATTCCACATTGGAAAGGATTGGTTAACTCTCTCACATAAACTAAGTAAGGATTTTGGTAAGATAATTAAGATTTTACAAAGGAGGCATGATGCCAACAAAAATAGCAGATTCTAAGGGGCACCTGGCTATGGGCTGTGAATGGGAGAAAGGGCCTTTTGGGCCTGGCTTTGTGGCCAGTCATTGAAATAATATTGGCAATAACAATATACTCTCTTTCATAAGCTTAGCTAATGTTGCTGGCCCTCCACACATAACCCTTGCATCTCTTCCTAGTGGTGATGATAGATTTCCAACAGTCTAGCCATTCTTTCCTATAAATTTATAAGAAAATAATCTAGCTTTAGAGATATGGTTTATGATCAAGCAAATGAATGAGATGAGTTTGTCCATGAATTAGTTTTTGACTCACATCTTACCCAACTGCTAACTGGCACTGAGCATACACATACATGTGTGTGCACACACAGACCATACACATGAATACACACACACACACACACACACACACACACACACACACATACACACACAAGAAGACTTCAAAGGACTAAGGGAAAGTGCCTTTGAGAATTGCTTATTTTCTTTTAAGTATGGGAAAAGTGAATCCAGCATATAGTTAGAAAAGGACATAAGAACAGGGGATGTGACAGATGGTGGTGGTAACAGAGGTACACACTCATAAATCTGTGTCAGGCAGATTACTAGGATGTCAAAAGACTTCAAAGATATACCCTTGTGCCTTTTGAAGATCAAAGTCATATGCTTGTGAAGGGCCCTAGGTGAATAATGCCAGGGGTTTGTGGTAAGGATTCAGGAGTGGTGATTTCACTTCATCCTCATTCTGCTTTATCTTTCTAAGATCTGTCAAAATACAAAAGACTGAACACTCAGGCTAAATAAAATAAGGCGAACTTGCCTACTTTCTCAATGCTGCCCTAATACTGGCCAGTACTATTCTTGGCTTGCTTAGGTTTTATTTGATTGTAAGGGGGGGCAGTTGGGATGCGTTAGGGGTGAGGGCAGAGCTCTAGGTCATACTGCTTTGGCTAATTATAGAAAGTGTGGGACCTTTAACTTCTGCCTACATCTGGCATGACGCATTGCCATCAACATTAGGGTTTCCACATGGTTAAGAAATAAAAAGTGGGTCACCACCAGCATTATCAAGTAGTACAAAATAAGCCCTGAGAACAGGAAACTGGTTTTGAAATTTTATATTCAGTAGGAATCAGACTGCCCTCTCTGTGGGGGAAACAGGGCCCAGGCCCAGGGAGATAGAAAGGTGCAAGTCCTCAAGTCTTTAACTGCAGTAAAGCCCAGCCACAGGGCATTGTCTTAGCCTCGCCCAGTTAGCGCTAACGATCTTTCTCCAAGAGATTCCTTAATTCAAGACTCTTAGAAATCACCATCTGGGGTTTTGCAAATTGTATAAAAGCAGAGATTTGTCCAAACATGATCGAGGTTGGTACTCTTCACATATATGCATCTCATATATACTGGTATGAGGCTACGAAATCAATAAAGCAAGTGGGAAAGAGAGGAAAGAACTGAGAAGTCTTTCAGTAGAATCCCATTCAACCTCAGAAGATGTCTATCTCCAAGAAGACATACTACAAGAGGATTTTAGTGCCGCGGTAGCATGACTATCAGCTGCCTATGGAACTAGGACTACGATTAGCGATTCAGGGTGGGGATACTGACCGTGCACCGTGCTCAAGCTGATTTACACACAGCTTGATGAGGGAATGCTCTTCAGCCACAGGGCTGGATGCACTTATCCCCTCAGGTAACCTGAGAGATTCAAACAATGAGACCTCATTAAAACCTCCCATGGACAGAGCAAGGCCCACTCAGAGAGGAAAGACATTTAGTGTATACAACTTTATTGAACAGCACCCTTAACACAGAAACCGGAGGCCAATCTCTGTGGCGATAGGAAGAACTGCACGCTTTAAACAACATGTCTGTGGGTCACAGGGAGCATTCCAAAAGGACTGAAAATGGGAAAAAAGGGAAATGATCATATTTTGGGTTAATGGGTACCATGCACCCTGGAGGAACCAGAACAGCTCAAAGTGTTATAGGAATAGTTTAGGGTAGAAGAAGTCATGTTATCCATCTAGACGCATCCACCATAAGCACCGTCCGAGCTGAAATGATATAAAATGACCTTCAGTAAGGATGGGGTCTGCCTCTGCTTGGCATCTGCAGAATGTCGAGCTTCCTAATAAAAGCACATCTTTGTATAAACACCATGTCAGGTCCTCCCTAGATAGATGCACATATCCATGTCTTTTGCAGACTGCACGGTTTATGATTTTGTTTCAGGAAAAAAAATGGTCACGTTTGCTGGTGGCTCTTAAAAAGAGTGCTAAAAGGAAGTTACTGAGGACCTGAACCATGTTATTTCACTGGGGACATGGTGCAGTATAACTGCCTCCTCCTTTCCACTTGTTAACAGGCTTAATTTATACACTGCAAACACTCTGTGCTGCCACATTTTGTTTATTACAGCTGTGGGGAACATCTTCATCTCAGGTTCCTGCTGATAGGTAAATACAGGAATTCAGGGGAAAAATCAGCAGTGATTTTAGCCTCACGTCTTCAAATCCCCAGGAGAATGTACCAGGATATTGCAGTGGAATTGGTACCTTATAAACCTCTTCAGGGAAAAGATGAATTATATGTGTTTCATGAAATATGAGGCCATTATTATTATTTTTTTTCTGCTGAAAGGCATTTGAAATCTTATGTTTAATCACTCACTTAATTTTCCTTACAGTTGTTTCTACTTTCCCGTGAGCCTTCTCCATGTAGTTATTAAATAGTTTTCTGGTGCTTGATTTATGATATTTGATCAGATGGATTAGAGCACCTCCTGACAGATGATATATGCAATGCTAACTCTTAGAGAAGTGTTTGCTTCTCTTGTTCCTTGCTTACATGGGGGTGGATCTTGTGCAAAAAGATGAGACACATATCCAAGTTGTTTTTATTTTTTTTAAGTTCTGTTATCATCCAAGAAACTACTTATATGGAAACTATATTTCCAAGTTTGGTCTTCAGCCTTTAGCCTCAGGAACTCTAGAGTTCACCAAGAAGAGGATTCTTTTATATCCGGAGCTTTAAATAAGGAGATGTTTCAGACTCTATATAATAATACACCACTGCATCTTGAAATTCCAATTCTTTGACTTCATTCAAATGCTATGAAAGTGACTTTATCAGTGGGGTAGAATCCGTGTGTGTCAGTCACAAAATTGAAATAGACCCCACATGCTTACTTTGGGTAGATTATAAATGCAGGTTTCCAGAAAGTGACATCAACCCCCAAAGCCATCCTCGCCCTCTCTAAATGCAGCCAAATGAATGAAATTGAACACTTATGATGGATATTTATAAACTAGTTTCCAATAATAATATTCTGCACTTGGCTTCACTAGAATATTTTTCTTGCCATAGAATCAAAAGAAAAGGCTGATTTTATAACAGGATAGGAACTTACCTCCTGGTAATGAAAGGGCTTCCTGAGGAGGGAACAGAGTGGGAGAACAGGGTGTCGTTCATGCTGGTTACAGGTCTGGGAGGCCTAAAACAAAATACAGCGTGTATGGAAAGTTAAAGCAAATAAAAGTCACAACTTAAAAATTATCCACCATCCCTCGAGGAAAGGGCATGGGAAGATCAGAATTCTATATTGCCCAGGATCAATATAAAATCTTACATTTTCCAATTAAATTCTTTAAATATTTTATAGTTATATTTCCTTAAGTATATAAAATCTCAGTTAAACATTGGGAGTAAGATCTCTGGACACCTTGGGAGTGTTTATCCATTAGCTTTGAGTCTTGGCATTTCATTGAATCATATTCTCAATGGAGCTAAGATTTTAAGGAAGCCATTAGCTTTATTTCTACTGTCGTCTAAAGAGAGAAGCCCTGAAAACACTACTATCGCAAATCTACATCACCTTTGAAACAGGAGGATTCCTGAGGCTTTGGAAACTTTATTCTGTCTTCTCCATGACAATGGCCCTCTCTCCAATATACCTGGTCTGGAAGGACACAGGCTGCAAAATCATACTGTACCTTATCTTCCCTTTGTTCTAAGTGAAGAGGGAATTAACCACCACAAGGATTTACTAAGTTTCTTTTATTTGGATGATCCATCTTGTAGGATATATGGTGTAAGACATCCCATAAACTCTTTTTTCTTATGATGAAAGAAATAAAATAGGATCCAATATTCCTCAGAATTATCCATGGTTCTAAACACCAAGAGCATGGGGGCTATCTTCCAGAATCTTATATTCTTTTTATTCTGTCATTCTTTTCCTGTCATGAATGTCTTAGTTCAGATGATAGGGCTAAGATCCCTATCTCATCTCCAAGCAGTTTTTAGTCTTTTTAAAGGTTCAATGTAAGATAGCAAATGATGATATGAGATGGAATTTAGAGTTCAGAAGACAGAAGATGAGGCAGGGCATTATTCCGAGCAGAGGAAATGTTAGTTTCACTATAATACTATATTGGAATTTGATAGTATAGAATCTTTTGGAGATGAGATTAATGACATTAATTATAGTAGCCTATACAATCAATTTATGTCGGCTTAAGAGCCAAATCTGTAAATGGTTTTATTTTTACCTTAGGGAACCAAAGTCTGTTGGATTCTACAATGAAGAAATTCTGGGAAAAAAGGTAGACTTGTTTATCCCAATGTACTTATTTGGAGTGGACATTTTGCCATGTAGGTTTTAAAATGTCAGCACTGTATGCAAAAATTCATTGAAACTTTTTCCTTGGTAGCTGGTGCTACATACACTATGTTCTGAGATTTTGTAACACATTACTTGTTGGATGAGATCAAAATAGCAGGTTCATGATTTCATCTACTCTAGACATAACTCAATATCTGCAAATAATCTTAGTGTTTTGCATTACTTATCTAAGACGTATCTTGATACAAGTGAGCAACACAAGACTAGTTTAAAACTAATTCTGCCTTAAGCTGAACACCTTCACTTTATAAGAAGGATACTAATTTTATATATGTCTTCTGTGAATTATGAAAGTTTGGTACATCGGTTTTTAAAAAAGAGAACAGAATAAAATACCTTCATTGTAGTTTTGAAAAAAAGTTGAAAAAATAAACTTGACCCCACATTTCTGATTTTCTTTTATCTTTTTATTTTTAACTTTCTAAACTTACTATATCTCTAGTAAATGAGAAAACAAGTGGACTTGGAATACTTTTTAACTAACTCAGTAAATTTACTCTATTGAACCTGGAACCTACAAAGCTGAAATTGTGGTTTCTTAGCAATTGCTTCATGTTTAGGGTTCACCATTGAAATGTTGAACTTGGGACACTAGAATGGCTAATCTTGGCCCAAGATAATGGCTTTCAGAGAGGCTGAAGTTCCTATTTCCTCCATAATCAAATGGTAAGTTACTTTATCTAAAAAATAGGTCACATGGGAATTTTAAACATATTTACTTTTATGAAAAAGAAACAGCTTCACAAGCTGGATTAAGTTACAAGGGCCTAGTGCAAAGTTATCTTTCTGAACAAGGACTTCACAGAGGACATTTTTAATAAAATTGGTAACCTTCTTGTAATGCAAAAGTGTTTAGCACAGGTAGAATTAGTTTTAAACAAGCCTCATGTGACTTACTTGTTTTGTGTCTCATAATCACTTATAATTATTAGTCTTTATAACCACATCGGGGACTACTGAACTACTTACCAAGTATCACTTTTGGCAGCAAAAAAAAAAAAAAAAATTGAATAGAATAGAGAATGTTAATCATGGTAACATTTACAAGCAATACAATAGCTAAGAGCAAATGCCAAAATACCAAAATGTCACCACCTGTTCATTTCTATTTAAAGACTAATTCATGACTGGCAGTGCCGCTGTACTGCATGGGTATAAAAAATCCCCTGGCTATAGTAAAAGAACCGCATTTTCTGTGTGTCACCTGCTTCATTTCCACATACAAATGTGAGTGTGTGTGAGAAATGGTAGTACCACAACCTGTTTATGGCTTATGGTAATAGGTTATGTGCTATGGAATGTCATACATTTTTGTCCACTTTATTAAAATTAAATCTATAAACACTTGGAAGAAGTATGAATATTCATTGATTCCACATACATGTTCATTATAGCAGATTAATATTATATTAATTAATAATTATTAATTAATATTAATAATTATATTAATTAGATTAATATTATATTAATATTATAGCAGATTAGTATTCTTTATAAAGATTAAGTATAATGCCATTTATTTTGTCACTTAAATGGTCTTTTTGTGTCTATGATAATGTAGAATAGCTGAATCAACAGCATTTTCTTTTTTTTTTTCGTAGAGACAAGGTCTAGGCTAGAGTCTAGTGGGATAGTCACAGCTCCCTGCAGCCTTGATCTCCTGGGCTCAAGCTATCCTTGTGCCTCAGCCTCCCCAGTAGCTGGAGCTATAGCCACAAAACACCACAATTGGCTAAGTGTTAAATTTATTTGTGGAGATGGGGTCTCCCCATGTTGCTCAGGCTGGTCTCAGCCTCCTGGCCTCAATTAATCTCACCCCACCCCAAAGTGCTGGGATTACGGGTGTGAGCCACTGTTCCTAGGCACATATTTTAAAATTAGAAGTCTTAGAATATCCTCATCAGAAAACCCCCAGAATCTGTATGGATATCTGTTCATGGTAACAGCTTTTGGATAAAGAAACAAATATGAAAAAAATGTCTACGGCTAAGAATAGAAAAAAATATTCTGTTCTAATACAGACTGGACATTGTATGTCCAGAATTTCTTGTATGTTATTCCAACAACTAAATATCTTGCACAGTTTTCATTTTTAAATTGAAACTTTCACCCTGAAAAAATATATTATTAGTGAGTACAGACCAGTATTTTGATTCAAGGACTCTTTTGAAGATCTGGTTAAGTACATGGACGTTTTCTCAGAAAAAGGAACATTTTGTATAGAATCTTAAGGGAATCTTGAAAATTTTCCATGGAAATTAAATTAACAATCTATTATTTATATATTGCCCCCAGTTAATTCAATGAATAACAGCTCAGATCACACTCTTCCTAGAATTTTAAAATTTTTAAACAATTATTTATTTATTTATTTATTAATTACAGATGGGGTCTCGCTATGTTGCCCAAGCTGGACTTGAACTCCTGGGCTCAAGTGATCCTCCCACCTCAGCCACCAAATAGTTGGGACTACAGTCATGTGCTATTGTTCCTGGCTCTGTAAGTTAAAATTTAAAAGTTATTACTCATTAGCCGATTAAATAATTCATGCACACGCATACATCCTGAGCACTGACTAGGTACAAGGACCTGGGCTAGGTAATACTCCAATGTGATTCACTGTGAAATTAACTTGTATTTCACAGTGCCTCCTTTTTAATCCTTTCTAGAAGCAGGAGCAAAATCCTCATTCCACTCTACTGCAAAGCTCTTGGTCCTAGGCGTTCACATCCACACGCTCTATCTTTATCCTGCCCAGCAGCTCGGATTAAAGGCTGCTCTCTTGGGGTGAATCTCCTAGCAGGGCTGGTAGAAAGTGCTTCCTGGCTGAGCTCAGAAAGCACAGGTTTCCTCTCATTTCATTGTGTTCATTCGTTAGCACCGTAGTGACTGTCACTAGCTGGCTATAGAAGGAAAGTCGAGACCTAAGTAAGAACAGCTCCTATGAGGTAGATTTTGCAAGTGGTTGGCCCTTTGGGACTCTGCCCAGATTTATTTACCCCTGGCTTATTTTAAGGCTTTATTTTAGGAGCATAATTTCCAAAAATAAGTGAACCACAGTCTACAGAATTTGTTTACTTTAGTTTCTGGAGGCTTAGCCCATGCCAACATGTAAGTTGAGAAACAGGAGTCTCCAGACTGCGGATATTGTTGAGGTCGGTGATCCCTCAGAGCACACTCAGGAGCAAGCAAAACAAAGCCCCGTAGTATTCACACAAAGCTCAGAGGCAGGACACAGCAGAAATCATTTGATGGCATTTGCGTAGGTCCATCAGAGGACAGAGTTGCTGCTTTCACAAGGGTCTCACATCCACCACAGTGCCTCTTACGGATCATTTCCTGAACTTCCTGAAGAATGAACTTTGCATTGGTGAGTTTCTATTATGTGTAGGTCTGATCAGTTCACCTCTTTAAGTTCATGTGCAAACATAGGCCCGACGGTGCTACAGGTCTCACTGAACTGCCTTTCGCTGCACTGACACTGAAAGGCAGTTCACAAGGAGGCAACTGTGACTACATAATTCTTGCTTGTGCACAGAAGCGGGTAATGAGCTTCTTTCTTCTCTGAGCCCAAGGTAACACCAAGGAAGAAACAGTTTCTTCTAGCTAAGCCCCCCTTATCTTGGTCACCCAGGCCTGAGAGAGGCTCCAAGGCATAAAACTTCTGGGAAGAGCAGAGATAGGTGGTGGCCCGATTCACTGGCTCAATACCCTCTGCCACCAAACTCACACATACTTTGGACAAAATATTCTTTTGGATGTTCTGATGAATTTTTCTACTAATTGTACACCCACCCCCCCAACCCTCCCCACCCAACCTTCCCCTGCCATGATTCTCCTAAAGTTATACAGGTAGCTTGGGATAAGAAACCAAAGCAATTTCTAGGTTTTTTGGCATCTTTAACCACTTCGGGACCACGCTCACCAGCCGCGAAACCTTGCCCACAGCCAGCACTCATAGTCCGCACGATAGCTCGTGCTGTGCATTGATGACGAATCTGTTTTGCTCTTGTGTGATTGGAAAGCTTCAAAGCACTGTAAGCTTGTTTTACTTTATAGGCAGCCTTACTTGTAATGGAAATCAGAATAGGTAACATATACATATATGTTTCCATTACGTTATTTTTAAATGTTCACAATTTTATTTTGCTAAATGAAAAATTAGAAAAGTCATATCACTCCTGTTGGCTAAAGTCACTGTGTGCGTTCATCTGTGGCTATCAACTATAGTCAACACTGGTCCCGAGGTGGTTAGGCTGACTGGGACTGTTCAGAAGTGAAACACAGGGACTCAAAGCACATATGATGTTAAGGTGTAATATGCTTGAAAATTTTTTTTCTTTTTCTTTTTTATCACAGTAATTTCATTGATTGTTAACTTCCAATGTGTGGACACCACTAACATCTGTATTTTATAAATAAGCTTTTTGAATATTTTCCATCTCTAGGTGAAGAACGCTAGTGTTGCATGCTTTACTTCTATAGTGGGATGAAGTACTATAGACCTCAGCAAGAAAACATTACAATGGTATTACTTTGACTCTTTTTTTTTTTCAAAAAAATTAAATTTTAAGACTTGGTCCCTGGCAGCTGACATGAAATTGCCTTTGTGTGACTCCAGACCCTTGTCAGTGAAGGAAGATGTCTCTTCATTTGGAGGGCAGGGATACTCACACAATGTGAGCCAAGTTGAGTGGCTTCTCAGGCTGATCGGGGAACATGGGGTGCAAAGGTTCACGGCTGGAAGCACAGCTCAGGGACTTGCTTAATGCGTTAGTTAGCTTCTTAGCAGGTGATTTCTGGAAAGAAGAAGAAAGGTAGAAGTGATTGATAATGACTAACACTGATGCAATATTGTACCAAGTGATTTGCTTTTGATAACAGTCATTCATTCATTCATTCATTCATTCATTCATTCATTCAAGAAGTCCTTTTTGAAGGCCTACTCTAAGTCTGGAAGTTTGCTCCATGCTGGGACTAGAGTGGTGGAACAAGTTACCTCCTGCTGTTTAGCATCAGCAGATATTGCAGTAAATGGTAGCAGTCATTGTTCATGGGACACCTGAGCTGGGACTTCATGGGTTAGTGGGAGTCTTTCTGACTAAATCTCAGGGGACTGGGGAAGTCATTCAAGCTGGAGGAAGCAGACAGCCCTTTGGGAGAGGAAAGAGGGGGATGGAGGGTCACAGTTCTTATTATGGAAAGTCAAGGACTGTGTCATTATCCCAAGGGCAGATGCAGAAGAGGAAGAGTTTAAATCACAGGGTGACAGCATCAGACCCGATTCCAGAAGGATTGCTCCCACTGAAGAACATAAAATGGTCTGTGAAGGGGATAGGAATGGAAGAAAGAAGAGGAGTGGAAGGTTTTTGCAGGAATCCAGGTGCAAGATGTTTCAGGTATGGTGGAACTTCAATCTGAGTCTTTAGAATTTGAAGTTCATGTTCTTTCCAGAGCATCATGCTACCTTTTTCCTTTAGACTGGTGTAATGTTCATCTCAACATTACACAATCAGAATTATAAAATATAGTCTACCACACATAATAAATCTTAACCAAAATTTTCCTTTCCATAAGAAGCTGTTTATAATTTTGTCGCTTTCTTTTACACCTAGAGTCCATAATTGGTAATACAACGAAGCGATTTTTGTCCTCATTATTTCAAAGCGAAGTCATAAGAGTGTAGTTCAAGGAGTACCTCTTTGGCTTTTGTTAGGGGGTGTAATTCTCAGAACACTTAAACAGCAGCAGCAGCAACAGCTCTTCACCCCATAAACCACAGGCCCCTTTGTCCTCTTGTAAAGACAGCACCCTGCCATAAAATTTTAGAGTCTACCACCCCCAAGAAAGGGGCTCCTTATGTGGCTTTAGCATTTACGTAAAACAAAAACTAAAAATGATTAGTCTTGAAACGTCAACCCTCCAGGATCTGTGACAGAAGTCTGAAAACTGGTAATATGTTGACAATAAGAAAATAGGAAGTGTTAGCGCCTAGCTTCTATACTAAATAGTAGTTCATGATCCACGTTAGTCTACCTATCTTCAGCATACAACATAACCAACAGTGAGGGGTGGCATTTGAACTGGCATGAAGTTCTCGGTATACTCTGCCTTAGTGAGGAACTGTAACTTGAATTCAGAATATGACAGGTGATGAACTACTAGTATATTTACACTGAATATCAGTTCCCAATAATAAGTTCTGAAGACCTTTTTAAAACAAGAACAATAAATTACTCCTTAAGTAAATACTACATGTTGAATCAAAATGCATTAAAATGTAGAAACACTCAAAAAGTTTGCATTTTCTTGTGATAGAACTATTCCAAGCGGGGCCAGCAGGGCTAATGTTATATCCCACAGAAACCAATCTATACCTAGAGCAATCCTTGAAGAAATGCACAAAAGCAGCATTGCTGGAACTGTTCTTTGAGTTTAACTAGGACAGATGTCAGCAAACTGTAAACCATTTGAACAGCAAGCACACTGAGAGAGTCAATTTCATCCAATAGACCCAGTGCCACATGCTTCCAAGAAACCTATCACACAGACACTCACATGTCACCTTTACCAAGTTGGTCACTCACACCACTATTCCTAAAAAGATGATTTGCTAATATAACCACAATCTCTCCTCCCCCCACCCAACTTCCTGCAAAAAAGTAAAATGCAACAGTATCATGAAGTCCACACTCTCACACACTTCTTTCCTTAATACTCCTGTTATGCACTTACAACGACTATGCAAATAACAATAACTTTTAAGCAATTTCCACACATACACACAAAAACAAAACGAAACTTATAAAAAACCTTAACTTACTGTGAACTATAAGAATATGTTCCAGAAGGTGTTTGCCGTTTAGTTGTTATTTAAATCAGTACTGAATTATCTGTATTCCAAGAAGTAACACAGTTTGAGTCTTCCTGTATTTTAAGTTTCAGGAAGCTACACAGGGTTCAGTTAGAATAAGCAAGAGATCCCAGTGAGGCTGGGATGGCAGGAAGGGGGACTGAATGTTGGAATGTGGGTAAAAGGTAAGTTTGTCTCTTAATTTTGTCACCGTCCTTGATATTCCCTTTCATTCTGAGTGACACCCGCACATCCAACTGTATGTATTGCCTGGGTCTCGGCTTACCCATGACGTGTACTCTTTCATTTGGTGCTGGTTGCTATGGGAACCACCGGCATGTCCCCTCCAGAAGCAGTCCTGACAGAGCTGGTAATTGTGACACTGTTGGCATCGGTAGCGAAACCCCATCATACTCTCGCTGTGGCAGTAGGAACACTCAACCGGATGGAAGACTAAGGGGGGAAATAAATGATGAAAAGGAAACAAATGTATGAACTGGAATAAAGAAAAATACAGCTTAACAGGAACGGCATTTTTCTGCTGTGTGCCACAATTTCAGTTCACAGTGGATTTTGGCTCAGAGAGGCATTTAGTTCACTCCTGAAATCTTACTACCCTTTTCAAACATGGGTGTGGGGGGTGGTGGAAGAAATGAAATAGGAGGGAGAAGAAGTGTCCTTTTAACAACACAAATCACTAATGCTGTTTGCTCTTTCTACTCCCATCGTCTCTTACACTACAAGAATTTAAATAACCCAAAATGACTTGCTTTTACCCCAAACTGCTCCGTGTCTCTAGGAGACCAGCACAGCTCACTGAAGACTCAAAAGAACAAGGAATGAATACAGCTGACTGTCCAGTGGGTCGAGAACAAATATTAGAGAAACAGAGGACAAGAGGAGGAAAAAAGAAAGGAAAATGGTAGGAGAGTGGAAAAACTGGATGAGAGAATTGAGTTACTTTTTAAAAACTGGAGTGGTGAACGGGTTTATTTAATAAGTGGCATGGCCTTCATCTAACAGTTTTTTTTTCTTTCCTGAGACAGGTGAATAGGGCTTCAAAAGATGAGTAAATTATCTGAAAACAATTCTAATTCAGATAGTTCAAGAGACAATTGACTTTTTTTTTTTGGCAGGATTTGAATTATAAAACAAGCAAGGTAAAATATTTGAGATTGGAAGCTAATAAGTATCAAATTCAAGTACTTGTCTACATGTTATGAGCTAAAGATACTAAAATAACAATAATGATTCTTGCCTTTGGTAAAGTTATTCTCTGGCTAACCAGTCAAAAAAAAAAAAAGAATGCAAATAAGAATAAATGAAAGTAAAAAGCAAAGTGTAAACACAAAGATATAACCAGTTCTGGGTGTATTTTCTCCTGAACGAGCATGATAATCTCCCTTTTCTGGCTCTTGGGAAAGACAAGGATGGGACTTAAATCTAGGGACTTAGGCTCTGGGACAGTGCCTAAGAAACCCATCTCCTGTGACAGGAAATACTGAGAGAGAGGGAATGAAATTACAGCTTTATGATTGGAAAATGACTAGTTCTAGAACAGTAAACAGTAATATGAAGAACTCAGCTTGCATAATAATATGGACCTTGACTGCTCCTTGCTTCTGCATATGGATAAGAAGCATAAAAAAACTATGATTGTTAGTGATTGCAAAGAAACTAAGTTCATTCTTTAAATTTTCTCCATAAGCAAAACAAAATAAATTCATAACTTTTAACCAAGATAAGTAAGTGCAGAGGCTAAAAATTCTGAATAAGAATTTAAAATTAAGCTAACGTTAGCCCCATTGTATATTAAATAAATATACAGAAGTTAAGATTCTAGTAAGAGACATAGGATAAATTATTTTCTATTCAAGTCTGGAGAAATTTCAGAGTTACATTAAACAATAAATAGAAAAACCTAAAGATTAGATGGAGGCACTGAGCTGTTCCACATTTACATTTCTTTAAATCTTGTTCTGAACTATATTTCATATTTAAGTTTGGATATGCCAAAAGTGGCTACTTTTATCCTAGAAATACCTGCTTTTCTTTTTTTTTTTAAAGCATGCTATAAAAGTTATGTTTACTCTTATCTATAAGTACAACTATTGAAAGATTATAATTTGGAGCGCATGACAAAAGATTAGCAGGGTGCTTATCTAAATTTTTTGCCACATCTCCCCCACCTATTCCTGGCTGAGTGCTTGGGAAGAAATAGTACCACATATACCAATATTGCAGATTCAGATAAAAACAAATACAAGAAAATATCACATGCCTTACTGAGGTTCTTCTTCTGGGGTATCAAGTCTTTAAGTCACACTTGACTTATAATTGAGAGGAACACGATGAGATGTCATAGGTTTTTAGAACTGACAGTGCTCATTTTGCAGTGGTCCCGTAAGGTCTTACTGATCAGGAAGATGGGTTAGTTCTATTCTAAATAAAACTAAGAACCACTAAATAGACTTCCCTAAAACAATAATCTGGGCTTAATACCTGTAGACCTGATGGCCTGATTGAAATCATTTTAAAAACTGCCTTTGCTCAGTAGTAACGACTCACCGTTTTCTACATTTGCCAGTCGATGCAAGAGAGGCAACCAGACCAGGCACTGCGGGGGAGGGTCCGACATGAGCGTGTCCAAGAAACCATTTAACGTGACTTTTTTCTGCATCAAACAAAACAAAACAAAACAAAAAACGCACAAAAATTTTGAACAGAGAATAATCTTAATTTACCTGCTATGTAATTTACCTGCTATGTAGACTGAAGAAACAAGGCTCTCAATTAACCTCTAATACCTAAAGAAACAGAATTTGTCAAATGTGTTATTAAACTCGTTCAGAATTGATTTCTTTTTATACTTGAGCATACATAAGACTGAACTGTCCCCACTGAGGCCGAGTCAACAGCATCACCAGGAGAAAAACAGTTCTGAGAGCATCACTTTTATAGAAGAGGGACAGTATATTATAAAAATGATGAGGAAAAATGAAGAATTGAAATTCTTCATGGAATTTTACTCAATGATTCATCAGAGCTTACTCTACTGTAATTCCCCTATCAGTTGGTCTTCTGAGTTTGTAGAACGATTTCCTTTTCAAGTTTCCTCAACTTCCTTAAGTACTAAATATTTAGTGGTTAATGTGAGTGGTTCTGTCATAAAAGATTAGGAGGAAATTCTGTCAGAGAACAATCTAAGTTTTTAAAAAGTTCTCTTCTTTCCATTCTTTATACATTTTTCCTCTCAATTCCATCTGTCTCATTATCCTGGTCCTTTTGATGTAGAGAAAGAATGATTATATATATATATATATATAATCTATAAGTATAAGTTTCTTTCAAAATGACAAAAATAACACTATATTAAAATATGTACTATAATAGTATGAATAACAAAATTACATATTTATACACAAAAATCACTATTTCATTTGAAATTTTGAATTAGAATATCAAAGTGGATGCGACAGTTTTATATTTTTCAATAAGAAATCAGTCCTAAAGAGGTATGGTATCTTTTTAAGGCCTACACTCTACACTAATCCTTGTAATTCACTGATCAACTATTTGGTACCCCTTAATTAAATTAATCTTTTATTATCAACAGATATTTACAATTTTCATCTTTTCTCGTAATACTAAATAGCAAGCTTTCTATAGGGTTGATTTTAACGTTATTATTAAAATATATATTATAGAAAGTATAAGTAATGAGATATTTTTTAAAAAGCTACCATAATTTATATATCTAAGAGAATATTGTTTTTCAAAACAATCTCTTGGGATGGCTTGGACTCTTTCCAATGAAGCATTTCAAATAGTTTTGGAATTTCACCATTCAAAGTGCTGTTACAGCCAGTTTATGAAGTACATACACAAACTGGTCTTGTTATTTTTATTTGTGTTACCTCTTTATGGACTTCAAATGATTTTATCCATTTTGACCATTTGCCATGCTGGCTAAACGTCACTCCTAAGTGACATTTAGCCACTCCTAAGTTTCCAAAAATGTTATGATGACTTCAACTTGTATAAATTTCCAATCATTAAGGATATATAAAAATTATACAACAGAACAATCTATAGAATAGTTCAAAAGGAATTTTGAGCATGTCAATATAATATATAGCTGTTTTTTTTAATATATCGGTTCTTTTAAGTTAAAAACAAACCCAGGCCTATTATTTACCTAATTTTGAATGAGACATATTCTGAGGCATTAGTACATTTATACCAAAGATTCTATAATACACCACCTAAAATTTAAAAATTCATAAATAAATAAAATTGTTCTTGTTTCTCTGATTGAGTAAAGTAATAGAACATGTGGCTACATTTCCTTGGGTCAGACCATCTTCATATTTGTAGAAATGAACTAATAATGCACAAAATAAAAGCAAAACAACAACAAGAAGAAAAACATAAGAGTAACATTAACAGATTGGAATTAGAGTTAGAAGATCAAAGTTAAAAACTCAGCCTCCTGTGCACACTAGCTTTGAACTTTATATTATTAAAAAAGAATATTCTCCTTGTTAGCTCACAGGGCTGTTGCAAGGCATGAATCAGACAATTCAACATATGGACCATACAGCACTGTAAAAATATAAGAAGCCATACACTTAGAATGTCATGAGAAAATCTAGAAAGCAGTAAAACTGAAAAAATTATAGGTTAATAGATCTGTGTTTTGAAATAATTGACACTGCTTTAAAAAATAGTTTCAGTAAAAAGAAAAGACTTACTAATTTTTAAATCAGTTCAGTATAGTGAACATTCGTTGTGTGCCTTTTACATTTTAAAGATACAAAGATGGTTAAGATAGGGGCTTAAAGTCTTTTGTGAAAGCTTTTTGGAGAAAGTGACATTTGGGCAAGAAAAAGGAGTTGGTGGTAAGAATGGAAAGGACTCCTGAGACAGAGAGAACATGTGCAAAAGCACAGACTCAAGAAACAGCGGGCAGCGTGAGGGACAGGAGATAGAGGATCTCTGGGAGCTGGAGGGCAAGCTCAAGAGAGTGAGCTTTCTCCTGCAGGCAATGACATCTGCTAAGTGGGAGAGCGGCAGGTTGGTATGGTCACAGGTGGGAATTAGGATGGATTCAGGGAGAGGAAGCCTCCTTCATTTTCTTTTCTTGCATTTTCATCCTGTTGTACATTGTACATATGCATTTTGCATTTTGAGGACCTCTTAAAATGTCTTTTTATTTTTTTCCTCTTTTTTTTTTTAGAGACAGGGTCTTGCTTTGCCACCTATGGTGGACTGCTGCAGTGGTATGATCAGAGCTCACCCTAACCTCCAACTCCTGGGCTCAAGCCTCAAGCAATCCTCCCGTCTTAGCCTCCCAAGTAGCTGGGACTATAGGCACACACTACCATGCCTGGCTATTTTTTAAAATTTTTTAGAGTTAGGGCCTTGCTACATTGTCCAGGCTGGTCTCTAACTCCTGTCCTCAAGTGATCTTCCTGGCTTAGTAGCCACTGTGCCTGGCAAAATGTCTTTTTATTAAATATAATGAGTTTCTGAATGAGTTTGGAATGTAATGGGACATACAATAAACAAACAAACGTACAAACAAATAAATGCATAGTGGGGAGAGCCATCTATTGCCTACAATGGTCCAGGAAGTATATGAGGAAGAGGAAAGGTGACCTGAAAAATATTTATAAAGTGAAAGCAGTAGGATCTGATGACTAATGAGAAATTGTGGGTGAAGAAGGAATCTAGAAGGAGGCTTAGGTGAGTGGTTCCATTCTGATGTCACCAACTCCAGAAGGAAACAGGCAGAGAAGCATGTTTTAGTTGGAGCAGAGATAAGGAAGAATGCACAGGGGCACCTGAACCTGGCCATGGGAAAGTGGAGAGAGTCAGAAAGCTTTCCTGGGTGGGATGACAGGGGAGCAGAGTTAGCATTAGTGTAGTAGCCATCGCTTCCTTACTAACTCTATGGATACATTTATGAGTGCACAAAAATTCATCACCCATAGGGCAACCTGATGCAGTTTTGATCTACCAGATCACCAACTAAACAGACTTAGAAAGTTTACTAGCTGGATAGTTAAAGCAGTTTTTCAGGGGCTGTTATACACTGATTTCTTCTCTAAGGTATCCTTTTAGAGACATACCTGGTCACTTTGGATTTTTAAAAAATTGTAAACAAAGCTCCAATTTATGGATTTATAAACTACCACTGCACTATATAGGAGAATAGGCATGCAGTTGTTCTACACTACTAAAGCCTTACAAACATGGAAAGCCCCCCAGAACTTTGCAGCTTCCTTGGGCTAATGGGCCATATCCGGTTAAAACACACCATTCTAGACCCCAAATGGATCATGTCGTGGAAGAGTGAGGCAGCTGTGTGTGCCATATTGTGGGCCTCCCAGAGTGCCATGTGGCATGTGCTGGGATTTCTTTTTGATTTCCTTTGCTAAACATTGGTAAAGTTAGCTGCTGGGTGACACATGTGTTTCATGTGAGGCTAACTGAGACAATTCAGCCCTTTTGATAGTGCAATGCCATTAATAATAATGATACTGAGGGTGTGGAGTTGTTGTAAGCATTAACTTTGACAATGAAAGTAAAGAATTTAGCACGGTGCCTGCCTCATGGTTAGTGAACACCACATTATTATTATCACCCAGGTGTGTTCAATTTAGTCATTGGCTCCTAGGTCATTTGTCAGAGGCTGGAAGACACCTGGCAGGTTGTTATCAAGTAGAATTTGCCTGTGTATCTGTGACTTGAAATGACATCTACAAGAGTAGCAACCACTGTTTGAGAGATATTTCCTTAAACAAATTTTTCCCCTACCTGCTGGGAGAAACAGGATCTAGCTGACTGTTCTGTGTAACCAAATGAAGGACCTTCGAAAACCGCCGTGGGTAGTTTGAGAACTTCCCGAAGGAATTGGTCGTACCGTCCATAAACCATCACCCCACTGGAGTCAGAAATCATTGAGAAAATATCTAATGGAAGGAAAAGAAAAGATATTTATTCATCACATGAACATTTTCCACTGTTTCTGTTCAACATATCTGCTGAAAAAGACAAAAAATGTGGCAGAATATACTATTTTTATGAAAGAATAATATAAAAGCTAATTTTTAAGCCAAAACATTCCCCCCGGTATGGTGTTTTCTTGAGTGTCTTTTTGTAGATGATTCAGGCACATGGAATTAAAAAGTAATTTGGGTAAAATTAGTATATTTTGATAAGACAGAGGACATCACGTTTTTGCTTTGAGGTCAATTATCAACTCATATATAACTCCAAAGGAGCCATTTTTGTACCTGTGAGAAATATGCTAACCTCATTTGAAACACAGTGAAAATTTTACTACAAAGTTGGGGTGTGTGTGTGTATCTATTTCTCTATTAATAGCTAGCAATTTACCCATATATATTATCACGAAAACTTGGATTTTGGTTTAAGATACTTGAAAAATCAAGGACACAATGGGGATAAAGGTATAATGAAAAACACTTGATTAACTTGCTACAGAAGCAGAAAACTTTCTATAAATTATAGCATTCTGGGTAGAAGGCACTTGATTTGTAAGGAAGGGTCTTTTGACTCATGTAGTGAAGAGAAATCCTAGCCTCGTGGGTGATCAGTGAGGTAGAAACAGGGTCCTGGATATGTCTCCGAAGAACCTGTGACTTCACTGAAGCCCTGTTCTTCAGTTACTGCCACTATGTGCACTTAATGAATATTAATGGAATAATTTCCCAAGGTACTTTGAAATTCCTCTGTGGAAATCATTACTGGAATGAAAGGGTTTGCTTTTATATAGTTTATCACCGTGATAACTAGATTGTCACTAGGCCAGCACAGCTGCTGAGACAAACTGTTGTGAGTACAACGTCCTCCTTCCATTCATTCTGGGTTTAATTTTTCAAGGTCAAAATGTAATTTGGGGACATTGTTTTTACACCAAAATCAGATGTTAAGCCTATCACAGGCTTTTATTAGATTATGTTTTGAGGCTGTGAATTGACTCTTATTTTTATTAAATACTGCAGTTATAAAGGATTTCTACTATGTTTCAAATGGTTTATTAATGATGAGGCTGTGGAAATTCTATCTGAGCAAAAATATTAATGTTCTCATCTACCTCCCCTCTACAACATTGTTTACTCGGTGAATTTTCTCTCTTATGTTCCATTATTAATAGACAAAATACAAACAAACAAACAGAAGTTTCCAACAGAAAAAAAATTGTTATGTAATTCCAAATACAGAAACTCAAGAATTTCAACCGAAAGGGATAAAAAGAAACCCAGGAAGAGTAAACTGATTTTCTTATCAGAGCTGCCATCTTGTTTGTTCTGGGCAGGTCACTTGGTGAAACACGCTCAGCAAAATTATCTTCTGGGCTCTGACTTTCTAGGTCAGGGCATGTTTTGGAAAGTAGCCTGGGCTTTTCAAATCTCCCACTGAAAGAATTTAGACAACCTCTCCACCTAGAGCAAAAGCCAGAAGGAGTACCAAGAGTGACCCTTCACAAACCTGAAACTAATATTAAACTCATTTGTGTTGATGAAGATCTGTTAAGCACTAGCCAAAGTAGGGCTAGATTGCTGGGATTAAAGGAAGTGGCTGTTAGTGGCCATTCAGGTTTTTAAAGAGAAATGAAGGGACTCTAAGGAAGGTATCAAAATGATACGTGCTTGTACCTTAGCATTGGGCCCTCTGTATACACACACACAGAAGTAATATGCCTATAATATATGTGTATATATTATTATATGTTAATATAATAGAGGGTTATTTCAAGGCTTAAATTAGTTATTAATAATAGAGTGAACCACTCAGAATAGTGCTTGGCAGGTAGAACACAGCACAGAAATGTTAGCTCTTTCTACTATTAATTTCATATTGCGTTATCCTGTCATCTACTTCATATGTTTAGGCTTTGCCTCCCCAGTGAGATTTTTCTATAAGGTTCCAGATCATATTCTAAAGCACATTTGTATTTCCTGGACTATGTAACGACAGATACTTTAGAAGCATTTACATTCATTGATTCATTCAACTAACATTAACTTAGCATGTACTAAATGTGTGAAAGTATGTGAGGCAATGAATGTACAGAAAAATCAGGATGTAGTTCTTGCCCTCTGGGAAGTCCCAGTCTATTGAGTGTAACAGAGGGGTGCTTACATGATGCATCATAGAGTGTCATATGTTGTAACGTTTTGGTGTGAGCACTGGAACAGTAGGTGTATAGGATGCAGCAGGAGTTCAGAGAGCAGGTTCCCAGAAGGAGGAGTGGGTCAGGGAAGATTTCCTACAGAGGGGACTTCTGGGCTAGGTACAAAGGACAATCAGGGGCTAGTCAGGCACAGAGGAAGGGGTGGGTTTTAGGAAACAGGATTGGAATGTGCACAGGCAGGGAGATGAATGCAAGCACAGTGCACTTGCGGGTCTTCAAGGAGTCCACCGTAGCAGGGGTCTTGGGTGCATGGTGAGAGGTGAGGCTGAGATACAAAGAGCTTTGAAAGTTCTATTAAGGCATTTATTTATTGATTTATTCCTGTTTGCATTTCCTTTCTTTTATTGATATATAAATTTTTTTCCTTTTATTTTTAGTTGACATGTACTAATTATATATATGTATGGAATGTAGAGTGATATTTCAATGCATGTAGACAATTTGTAATGATCATGGCAGAGTAATTAGCATAACCATCACCTCAAACATTTACCATTTCTTTGTGTTGGGATCCTCTCTTCAGGTCTTTTTATTTTTTTTTTTTTTCTTGAGACAGAGTCTTGCTTTGTTGTCCAGGCTGGAGTGAGTGCCGTGGAGTCAGCCTAGCTCACAGCAACCTCAAACTCCTGGGCTCAAGCAATCCTGCTGCCTCAGCCTCCCGAGTAGCTGGGACTACAGGCATGTGCCACCATGCCCGGCTAATTTTTTATATATATTAGTTGGCCAGTTAATTTCTTTCTATTTATAGTAGAGACGGGCTCTCGCTCTTGCTCAGGCTGGTTTTGAACTCCTGACCTCGAGCAATCCGCCTGCCTCGGCCTCCCAGAGTGCTAGGATCACCGTGCCCAGCCTCTTCAGGTCTTTTGAAAATACATGATAAGTCATTAACTATAGTCACCCTACAGTGCTATAGAATACTAGAAATTATTCCTCCTATCTAGCTGTAGTTTCATATCTGTTAACCAACCTCTACCCATCCTCCACTCCCTACTCTTCCCAGCCTCAAATAATCACAATCTACTCTCGAATTTTATGAGCTCAATTTTTATTAGCTCCCACATATGAATGAAAACATGCAGTGTTTATATTTCTGTGCCTGACTTGTTTCACTTAACATAATGTCCTCCAGATTCATCCATGTTGCCACGAATGACAGGATTTCATTCTTTTTTTTTATAGCTGAATTCTAAACTGAAGAGCTTAGATAGTGTTCAGAAATGTGGAGGGAGATACTGAAAAATTAAAGCAAGCCAGTGAGTTAGAAACATTACCCTGGGGGTCAGCTTGGGGGAAGAACAACCAGTTCAGTAATAGAAACTCAATAAATACAGGGTGTTTGCCATAATACTAGTCTTTTAAACAAAATAAAACAAATCCTCCCCAAAGCATTAGAACAGCACATGACATTCCAGCCTTAGAGCACTGAAGTTAGGATTCTTTAAGATCCTTATGACTATCCAGGAGTCCTGAGGCAAAAGTATAAACAAGTATTCCAACCCATTAAAACAACAGTTTACAATTAGGCCAGGAACAATCTGACAGAGAAGTAGTATATTAGGTCAGTTTACATTTCGGTTGGCACAACTGCAGGGGGCGCCCTTCATATCCTAGGCTGTGTCCATGCTGCTGTCTGGAGTTACACAATCAACACCCTGCGTACTAGTTGATGGTAGTCTTGATTACTAGAAATTGTGGTACAACATGGGGTTGTTGTCCCTTTTAATGTGTTTTAAAGCATTTATAAAAAACATCAAATTTCTGTTGCTTTCTCCTTTTTTGTTTTTTAAAATTTCTAATTTATTTCCAGGCAATTATTCTTGCTCTGTGCTCTCTAACAATAAGGGACTAGTTGGAACAAACTAAATATCCTTCATCCCTATTCACAAAAATAGAAAAATTGCCAAACAAGCGCAGCTGGCATACTGGCTTAAAGTGAATTAGAAAAATTTAAAGAAGGGGAAAACAAAACCCTCAAACCCTGACAAATTCCATATCCCTTCATTTCACTTTTTCTTTTATCACAAAAGCAATGCAGAAAATCATGACCTTGCCTGCTTTATGATTAAAATGCAAGCCAGCAAAAGAAGACTATAAAAACACCCACAATTCCACTTATCCAGGGGAAGTCACTGCTATATGTGGGTAGAGAATTGCCCATTTTTGCTCATTCAATCAATAATTATCACTGAAACTAGAAATAATGATGACTAAGGATTTTTTTTTTTTTTTTGAGACAGGGTCTCACTTTGTTGCTTGGGCTAGAGTGCAGTGGCATCATCATAGCTCGCTGGAACCTCACACTCCTGGGCTCAAGAGATCTGTCTGCCTCACTCTTCCGAGTAGCTGGGACTACAGCTACTATCCTGGGGCCTGGCCAGGATATTCATTTTTGACCAAGTAACATCTGGAGAGATTCTTCCAATCAAATTGCTTTTAGCTAAATTGTTTTTGGTCAAATTGATTTCAACCAAGTTACCCAGAAACCACTAAAACTATCTCCCTGGGATTAACTATGTAAAGAGTGGTACTCAAGACTGGATTCAGCTCTATGGCTCTTGAAGGGGGAGATGAGATATATTGGGATCACATTATCTATTTTTCTAAAGACTTTGTGACATTGTGAAGCTTGTTTTTGCAGACTGGAGTACTTAGTTTACCTCCATGGAGACTCACGCATTCATTGCTTATTTCACTGGACTGAGATGACTGACTTGGCCACCGGAGAGCATAGATTGCTTTGCTCACTGAGTGTTTCTTTTGAAGGGTGCAGGGATGGGGTGAGGAGAAAGCACTGTAGCAGTTACATTGTGTGCTTTGAACTCCTGGACCAGCAAGACAACTGCAAGGGTTTTGACAGCTGGCAAGGATCTGGTCAAAAATTTAGTTATATCTTCAGCGTTATAACTGTGCCAATGTTGCTAGTTCCTTACCTAGCAGCCATTTCCTTCATTGTGTTGGTCTCAAATTTGTTCCTAGGCCAAGGGAAAGAAGCAGCCCTTCCTTACCCAGAAGGAGGAAGTGGCTGCATGACCATACCCATCTTGCCTTTCCTCTTACCCATAATTGGTGTAGGAATTGGGCTGTGATGCCACTCTGGGCAACAAGACTTAAGGGCTCGGGGACCACTGGAGTAAGATGTGACTCTTGAGACTGTGCACCCTGTCTTGCCCATAGAAGGAGGACAAAATCTGCCATGGAGGAAAGCTGGGTGGAAAGATGCAACCACCTGGGACCTTGAGGGCTCAGAACTACCCTGGTACATGAAAGGCTCAGAGGAGCTCTGAAGTGCATAAGGCTGGTTTTCTCAGTTTTCCTCCAACTCATTTTAATATGGGACTCTTGTATGAAGGTACCTATTAATATATTGAATAAGTATTTGGAAATGTTTCTCAAGATCTAATGTCCTCACGATGAATGGCTAACTGTGATGTGAGCTCATCAGGCAAAGCCTTGGGACTTTCTTCATCTGCCTTGGTTCATTTTGCTAAACTTTCTCTTCCCAGCTTAACTCTGAAGAAAATATCTCCTGGATTACTCTGAAGCTAACCTTTATTATTATTATTTTTTTAGAGAGACAGGGTTTCTAAAGGCTGGAGTGCAGTGGCACAATCATGGTTCACTGCAGCCTCAAACTCCTGGGCTGAAGTCATCCTCCCACCTCAGCCTCCAGAGTGCATGCCAGCAAGCTTGACTAATTTTCTTATCTTTTTTTTGTAGAGAAAGGGCCTCATTATGTTGCCCAGGCTGGCCTCAAACTCCTGTGAAGCTATTTTTTTTTTTTTTTTTTGAAAAGGCCATTGGTTCTAGCACCATCTAACTTAGCTATTATCTTTCAATCAAGCACTGACGTAGGCAATTTTTTATTTTCTATATCCTTCAGGCTCATGAAAGAGAACTACACTGAGCCTCCCAAGGTCTGGTTGGGCTTCTGTGAATCCTGGCTGCATTAGGCTATTCCATAAAAGGAAGTGAGGGAAGCTGTGTGGTTACCTGGGGCTTTTGTCCAATGAAACAACTTTCCCTGGAGCAGTCTGGGGAAAATTCAAAGGAATAAAGGGTTTTCATCTGTGTCTGCCTTCATTCCTTCCCTCTCAGTGTATCAAGAAGCAAGGAATCTGACCCAGGGTCTCACGGACAGCAGGTGAGCTTCACTCCTGTGAGTTGTGTATAGGTGGTTGCAGCCAGGAATGACTCTACATGTAGCTAATGACATCCCTACATTTAGGATTCAGAGGGAAGCTGAGGACTAAAGAAATGAGGTAAACATCCACAGCGTCACTCAGTCAATTAGTCACACTGTCCAGTTTATCCCGTGGAACTCCCAATTCCCACGGCAGGGCCCTTTCTAATACAGTATCATAACCCCAACTCATGATATTTAGGGGAAGAGATAGGGTTAAGTGGACATTTTTCATTTAAACAGCAGCACCAACGTCATCATAAACTAGTTAAAAACAAATATCTTTGTCCCCCACCCCCACTCCAACTCCAGGGTGACCAAGTCAGAAATTCTGGGGGTGGAACCCAGGGATTTATGTTTTATTAAGCCCTCCAGGTGATTCTGATGCATACTAAAATCTGAGAACCAGTGGTGTAGGAAAAAAAACTCAGGGTTTAAATCCTGGTGCCTTCTTAGCTATGTGATTTAATTTAACTCTCTGAGTCTCAGCTTCTTTACCTAAAACAAACAAACAATTTTCACTGTGTCGTTGGTCAAAAAACTCTACCTTAGAAACAAAACGTACATAAAGGCTCATACTCACTCAATGTAGCTATGGTGTTTTTATTGGCATCCAGTTAATTCTGTCTATACTGTGTCTATGTAATAACTAGTCCTGTGGCCTGGCAATGTCTGCTTTGGAGTTCCCAGGGGTTTGAATAGCACTGGCTGAGAAGAATGAAAAAATGTGCCAGGAGCTTTGGTTTTAGAATGTCAAAAGGGGAAAGTTGCCCAAGATGGCCTTTGTGTCCGTGTGATGACGAACGTCCTGTAAGGCAATACAGCACAATGAACTGGAAAGGATGTCCATCTCACTTTAGCATCAGATGGAGTTTATTTGGTGATGCTCAGCAGGTTGTAAGATGAGGGAAACATTCATTTCATTAACGTGTATCTAATATGAAAACATCTTTATGACAAAATCCAAAGATCAGTGAAGACTGTATTTCAAACAACTTTCACAAAATGAGGAGAGACACAACTGGGCAGGGAAACATGATGTTAATAGCAGTGGGGAATAGAAAGATGTGGTTCTGAGGAGGGACAAGCAAAGAGAGACACAAGGAATAACAACTTACATCTCAATTTGTCCATGATCTTCCCTCCACACAACGTGGCTAAAGCCATTTTGACAGCAAATACTGAAATTTTACCATGGCCTTCCCTGTTTAATGACAACAGAAAAAAAAAAAAAAAACATGAAGTCATTTGGAGCGCTTCCAATAACAAGGTTTGACATTTTCTATTCTGTAGAAATCACAGGGTATGTAGTTGCAGACATTATGTGAACACATCCATTTTAGAAAAGGTTGTGAATACAATTCAATGCACATTTCTGAAAAATTGTCTATTCAATGTTTCCTTCATCTCAAGAGATATCAGAATCTTCTATATATAATCTTCTTTGTATATGTCACTTGCTCAAAACATGGGCTGATAGCCATGAAAATATGCACTAATTTTGATTTAAATAGCAGAACATGCTTTTCACGTTGGGCCTCATAAAATAATTTTGTGCATGATAATTCCATAGTCTATATAATTTATTTAAATAAGGCTTCAGACACATCATTTTGTTTAAAAGAGAATTCCTGAATTTGAGGTTAGGGTAACTCTGGGGACTTATCATCACACATGTTTTTTCAACAATTATTTCCTACCCACAAGCCAACTATGCTTATGTGATAAATTTACTTTTCAAAAAGAGCTGGAATTTTAAAGGAGGGAAAGTAAGAGCTCTGTTTGAATGGTTCTCTTTCTAGCCAAATGACACACGTGCTGCCAGGTCTTCATTGATTCAGGAAGTATAGAAAACCTGTCCTGTGATATAATGTGATATAAAGGGCATACTGTAAGAAGTATAATGTTTCAGCTAAATTATTTGTATCAGCTAGAATAAACTGTTTATTCTTATATACTTAGAATCAGAAAGCATATCATATTAGTAATTCATTTCTTTGATAGCTGCTGTCTTAGGAATGATCAAAAGAGTAATTTAAAATAATACTGTGGGTAAAAGGTAAGTAAAGTCTGAATTGACAAGACTTTAGTATCCAGAATAAATCATTTATAAGAATAAAATTCATATATTAGAATAAAATTCATATATTAAAATTCATATATTCTGATATATTAGAATAAGATCCAATAAATAATTGTGGTTTTGTTCCTTACTAGACTTCAGAGAGGGGTCATTTGTTATTTATCTTTGTTGCTGTCATTCTTAGCATAATACCTGAAATAGAGCTAGCCAGAATGCAAAATTGACTGAACTTTATGCGAGCAACTCTTATATTTTAAAGCCAGAGCACCAGACTTATGCAATCATTTATTGGAAATCTCCACTTTTATACCTCATGCCAAACCAAGTGTGTGCAAAATAGGACTCATTATTTTCACAGAGCTCTTCCATAATACTCAGATTAACCTTATTACTAACCTACTCTTCCTTCTATATTCCCTTTTCTGGTTGTTAGAACCACCATATACCTAGTCATTATCCAAAAATGAATCCTGGAGCAGGAGTCACCCGAGTTTCCTGCTCTTCCTAAATTCACTATTGCTTTGAACTAATGTTTGAGGGACTCAAACATAACCTCTTCAGTGGATGTTGAATTAATTCCCATATTTCCATTCCCACTGTCGTTGCTTTCGTCAGCTCTTGTTTTAACACTGTAATAAGCTCTAAAATGATCTCTCTGCTTACACACTCATATACAAATTTGACTGTATTATTTCATTGTTTAAAACCCCCTTACCTCCTTTTGCCCACAGGATGAGGTTCTAACTTTTTCTCATGGTATAGATAGCGATCTCCTCTAGTCTCATCCGCTACCATTTCTGTTGTTGTACTACACACCAGTCACACTGTTCAATGCCTTCTGGCCCCTGCCTTACCCACATAGTCTGCCTACCACCCTCACACTCATTTGTCAACACATTGCTCAATATCATCATTCCCTAATCTGAAAACAACTGTTCTCTTGGATGTTCATATCTGGGCAATCACTCTTCCCTCCACTTTTACCTATTATGTGGCACCTGACACACTGAGTGACCTTGATTTGTTTATTTACATGTCTGCAATGCGATTGAATTTGGGCAGAGAATTAGGTCTGAATTAGTTGAATTCCTAATACTGAGCTCACACAGAGCTCACACAGAGCTAGTGATCCATAAATTTCTTATATTAAGGAATGGACATTAATCATTATAATAGGTACCCCCAGAATTTGTAATGGTCACTCTATAAATTGTTCACTAATTTTAGAGCAGGTAGTAGTAATATAAATTCAGTGATTTTGTGAAAACCACCTTATTCAAAACTATTCCTATCCCCTGTGTTCTCAATTGCATAGATAATTGGAAGTATCAAACATCTGAGTTCAGGAAGTAACTGACTTCTTAAATTGTAACATGGTTGAAATAATGAGAACAGAAAAGTCCACAAGGTATGGAATATTAGGACTAATATAGCAATAGTGCAGTCTTCAAAATGCAAAGCATTATGAGGCTTCAAGAGTAATACAAGTTCCTTTCAACGAGTCAGAGAGAATAATTTAACTCAAAGGACAGAATTGACCACAGCTGACTTTGGAATGGAGCATCCTCCGAAGGATGAAATGAGAGCTCACAGGTGAATTTTTAGACCTTAGGTTTCAATGAAGAAGATCACAGCAAGATCGCCAGTCCTGTATTGTTCCTGGAAATGGAAGATTGATGATACTAAATCCAACATTGGTTGTATCAGAGCTATTCTGCCAAATTGACACAATATATCTAGATATATCACCAAGTAGAGGGCAGATGAATGAGAGTTTTACAGGAACTCAAGGGTGAAATTAGTCCACTGGAATCTATTGTTATGCAAGCTACCGTGTCAGACTGCAAATATGACCCTTGTCATGAAGAAGGATTTGGGGGTATGCAGGGATTTAGGTCATGATAAGCATATCAAGACTGGGTGAGTTCAGACCTTGGTCACCCTAGGCATTGGATGAATCTTTAAAGGAGTTCAAGGAGTAAGCAGAGATGACTGATTCTACAACAGAGAATGGAGGCACCAAAGACTTAAATACAAATGGATCTTTTTAAAAGATCATTTTCAGTACATAAAACAAGATAAAGAAGGGAAAAGAGAAAGATTTTTTTTTAAAGGCCTTCAACCAGGTTCTCTACCAAAAACCATTGCTTACACAAAGTCGCCGTGGGACCAAGGTCCTTATTTTGTTGTGAAAAAAGAGCTGGCATTGGCTCAGGAAGCAAGGAGTAGGGAGAAGTTGGTACACCCCAAATGGAGAAATGTAAGAGTTATGTTCACCAGGAATCGTCCAACAGTTGCGACCAGTTTGATTTGCAAACAGTCAGTGAAATCTCTTAAGTGTCTAGAAAGTGGAAAGACAAGCTCATGGGGGTCGATAACAGCAAGCTCCCTGGTCTTGTGCAAATCAGCAGGAAAGCAGCATATTGTTCCAAAGTGAGTAAGTACATGGCGATGCCTCTAGGACTAAGGTAGAAAAACTTCACCTACGGAGTGTTGCTTGTCAGCCACTACTCAGGAAGTGGACCTGCCAGTGTGTGCTGAGGATGAAAACCACAGATTGTCCCTAATGCTGCAGGTCAAAGAGCCTGGGAATGGGGCAGCACCAGGAAGAGCATAGAAAAAGTCTACATTCTTTCCTTGCTTTTATGAAAAGCTATGCCTGCACCCCTTCAATTTCATGTGCAGTTCTGATTGTCACCTCAAAAAGATGTAACAAATCCAGAGGGGTTTGAGAGACTGTGTGCATCACAGTGTGCATATGTTAGAACCACAGACTTTTAGGGGTGGGATCGGCCTTTGGAATCTGTAATGAATGGTATGACCACATAAGTCTTTCTTTGTGAATTAAAGCTGCTAGTGCAGTTGATGCTTTAGTAGTGTAAAAGACATAGTAAAAGCTTAAAAATTTACTATAAGTGCATTTTTTAAATTGAAAGAATAATTTTATTTTAAAAATAAAATAATAACATTTTACTTATTGTAATGTTTTCCCCTTTAATGCAGAGAGTGAACATAATGCATAATGCATACTTCACTCATGTTTTCTTCTCCTATATTTTGGCATAAAGAAATATATTGGTTTCTAAGCCAATTATACTGGAACTTTTGCCCATATAAACTTTCTCGTTTTGGCTTGATATCCAAAAATACCCAATTAAATTGTATGCTGGTATTTAATTAACACCTACCAAGGTAATTATGAGAAGCAGTTTAACATATGTAAGTTATCAAAGGTACAAACGGAAATAGCTTCATAAATTAATGTATCTTTAACTCTCTTATTTCCCTTTATACTTTTTCTCACTCTTAGAATTTTCAAATTTTCCTAAGAGACAAGTGGTTGAAAACAGAAAGAGGAAAGTGCTAACCCTTTCATTTAAATATATATAGTGATTTGGTGAGTGCCTGTCTTAGAAACATGGATTAACTCAAAGTTTGAATTGTCATAATGAAAAGTGAGTAACTGCTTTAGTCTGGCCTGGGTTTTCTATAAACTTATAAAGAGACACACTGATTTCTTTTCAACTAAGAAGATATTATTTGTAGGGAAAAGTTGCAGGGAAGGGAAAGTTTGCTTTTGATGAGAAGGAAAAACAACAAATAGGTATTGATAGGTCTGGGGTGCTAGGCTCAGCTCAGAACAAAAAGGAAATTTTCACTGAATTGTCATGAGATTTTCCTGTTTGAGGTTGCAAAATCCCATGGTAAATTGCAAGTCCTCGAAAGTGAGATTTGAATTCTGACCAATGTTTTCTTAAACAGGCAGGAGAAATTATTTCTCTGTTTAAGAGTACTAAAATCAGAGGTTCTTCTTTTACCAACATGTTTTACAAAAAACATTTGGTGAGCATTTTTGATAAGCAGAGGCACAGCATTCAAACTGCTCTTTCTCACATATTTTTGATGGTTTAGTTAACTGAGAGGATTGCTTCCTTCTCTCTGCTTCTACAACATGCTTATGTCATAATTTTTATCTGAAAATTATTTTGCTCATATGTATCACTCATTTAGTCACTCAATAAATATTTATTGGCTCTGTCCTAGAGGTTGGGGATATGCAGATCAATAAGATGTGGCTTCTACCTTCCATTTGTTCATAATATATTGGAGAGAAAGGGGCA